CAAGACAAAGAGGACAATCAAATGAACAATATTGCTGGTTGAACGATGTAATGTACAAGACTTATGCAGCAAGAGCCATTGTCCTTGAAGATTTCCGTGCAAGCTCTAGCTTGAACAGCATCCAATCTCTTCCAAGAAGATCCCTCATCTTTGATATTGATTGTCTCTCCTTTAGGAGGAACAGATGAAGGAGTACCTTCATCAATGGCCTCGACTGCCTTCCTACTCACAATGCGGTATATTTGTGTCAGGACTTCAGCAAATGCATTTTCCACTTTGGTTGCTTCCAGTGCAGATGTCTCCATGAAAAAAGAGGCTCTTCCTCTCTGCTAAAGCTTTACCATCCTCAGTTGAAACTGCTACAAGATGTCGAAGATCATATTTGTTTCCAATGAGCATAACTACAACATTAGGGTCAGTATGATCTCTCAATTCCCTCAAACTACCTCTCAACATTCTCAAAGGTAGAACGTCTAGTGACATCATACACGAGTAAAGCACCAACAGCTCCTCTGTAGTAAGCACTGGTAATGGCATGGTACCTGCAGCGGGCAAAGGAAGCATATGAATGCAGAAGTTAAATGCTTTACAATTTATGTATGCAATTCCAACTACTTGTCATAATTCAGAAATGCATTACAGCTCAAGTACTTGATTTCAGCTGTAGTGCATATGAGCTAAATACTCCTTTAACTTCGGCATTAAAAAGAGTTCACAAAAATTAGATTTAAACACAAAAGTTTGCAAGAAATAAGAACAAACAGAAAAAGTGATTAGAGGATGCTATAAAGAAATGCTAATATGATTAAAATTTCTTGGTAGAGATATGGTCTAAACAAAAGTGCAGAGAAAGTATGCATGCTAAAAAATTACACACAACATGGCCTAGGAAGCATATGATGCTGCCACTGAGAAGTTTGTAGTGCTATAGATCATAACCTTCCCAAAACACAGCTCCTCTTTTAGTCCAGCAAGGGCAGTGAATACTAGTCCCTAAGGAGTGAAAGAAGACACGAACAAAGGGCCCCATCAAGAAGCTGCAAAACTAGAAACCATACCAAATAAGCAACAGCTAGGAGTCTACAATCCCATCCAATCATCCATGAAGGCACTCTAATAAAATACTTAATTGCTTCATAAATAAATAACCATATTACCTTTGAGCAATCCAATAAGTCACATGACTAGATTTCCTCTTCGTAAACCTCCCTATTGGAGCCAAGAAGTTTTGTAACTAATGGAGCAAAATCTGTAATTAATGCAGCTTCTTCCTCGGCATTTTCTTGTGAAACTATATTAATATCATAAAACAGCAAATACGTCATTTCTAAATAAAGAAAAATAATAATTTAACTACCGTAAATATTATGTGCAGTAAAAGAAATTTTTAACAAAATAAAGAATATATAAAATACTTACATTTTTCACCATATAACCAATCTTTAGTGCATATTAAAGCTTCTACATTCTCTGGCAAGATGGTACTACGATATTTGTTGATAATCCGACCGCCAACGCTGAAAGCGGACTCTGAAGCCACTGTAGTAATAGGAATACTCAAAATGTCTTGTGCCATCAATGAAATCACTGGATATCGATTTCTATTTTCTTTCCAAAATTGAAGAACATCCAAATCTTCTTTTGCTGGAATCTGTTGATGAAACTCGCTCAACATTGTGCTCTTCTTCTCCTTCCATTTGAACAAGTACCTAATATTCATTGCACCAAAGAATAGAAAAAAAATTCAGATCTCATTAAGTGCAAAATGACAGCAAAAAAATACTAGTTAGAGGAAAGGATTAAGATAACATTAAGCATTTAGAAGTCCAGAAATCCCAAGCTTGCAATTTATCATGCATTACTTACTCTAAAAACTAAATTTTGATCAGTTTGCCAGATTTCGATGCATGCAATCATATGTCATGTCTTCTAATTAATGTTAGACATAGCAACTCTACCTAAATTTCCTAATGTCCTCATCACAGTAATGAATTCAACTAGGAATAAGGACCTGGGAATTAGTTGTCTGCTATAACATGAATCATTCTAGAGAAAAATATTGTACAGAATCTCATTCCAGGTATCAGTGACTCCAGGGATTCTCTCGTTGAAGTATCCATTTTATCTTGTAGTGCCAATTGACAAGTCCCTTCCCAACTTAGTTGGGATTTCTGAACCACAAATTCTGTGGTGCCAGGTTTGCACTCTAATCCTCCACAAGGAATCGTTGGGAAAAAGTAATGGGTTTGCTTCAAAGCCAACCGAATCTCACTCGTTTTAGCATTACAACCAAAAGACCTACAACTCCTAGTCGTCACAGCAGCTAGCTACATGCAAATGAAATGCGATAACCCCAATAATTCAAGTTAATTAGCCAGCCCAAAAGCTTTGATTTAACAAATATTGATTGGAAACTCAACAACCTAGAACCAGAAACAGAGACAAACCCGTTCCCTCCTAATTATCAAACAATTTAAGCGCAAACGGAAAACAAAGACGAAGATATTAGCAAGAAAAGGATGAAGATTTACCCCCGATCACTTGCCCGCAAAATTCATCCTCACTCGATCTGGGATCCTGGGTTGGGTAAAATTTTAGGAGGATGCAGACAGAGAGGATGGATTTAGTTAAGTAGTGATTAGAACAGAGGGGAATGGGAGGCGATGGCGGTGGCGGTGGCCGTGAAGGAGGGAACGAAACCGGTGAAAACGAGGGAGCACGGGGACAGCATTTTCACACCTCAACGTTCAATTTTAGGATAGCTCCTTTTTTAGTCATTTGCTGTCCATTTCTTTTATTTGATTTTTAAGTAAATGGATATATGTGGTTTTTGTGGATAATCCATATAAATCCATTTAATTTAATGGTTTTACTTTGATCATCCATTTAAAACCAATATTATAAATGGATAATCCAAATCCATTTAATTATGGTTTATATGGATGGATAAATGGATTTCAATCCAAATTGCCACCTCTAGTTTAATCTTTTCACAGCCAAAATAACAACTATAGAAGGTGGCAAAACATAGACGGACTAAAATCACTTCGATTAGATTAGATGCTTTCCAAGTTTGTTGCTTCTTAGACCACTCATAACATGGAAGTTTGGTAGTGGTTAACCCCTGCAATAATCATTCTGGCCATCTGCTGTTTTCTTGAGAACTCCTATGTTGCCAGGAGGATTGCATTTTGAACTTCCTTTTCAGTCGTCCATGAGATGCACTTTTCAGGCATTAATTTATAGAAACCATCCATGGCGTGCTTATTGACTAATTAGTAAATTTTAACTCTCTCAACATATTGGATGTTGAAGCAGATACACACATATTTACCACCAACCCAAAAAAAGAACAAAATAATTACAGAAGAATGATACACATGAGAACATACAAGATTAGTACCACTATATCCAGGAAATGAAACTATTACTTCTCCGGAGGTGGGATTTGAGCTGCAATTGGAGGCGCTGGAGGCCCATAATACCGGGGAGGCCTACCAGCAGCCTCTCCTCGGCCGCTTGCCCTACCAAGTAGATAGCAGGCGATGGCAGCTATCAAGAACAGCAGAATCAGAGGCAAAGAGATCACTATCACGTAACCCATCTTTTGCTCCGGATTCCTCCTAGCTGAAATTGTGCTACAACTATTCTTTTTTTGTCCTGTCCTGCATCGGTTAAAGTCACCAAACGAAGGCGATTTAGCCCTCCAAAGTGCGCAATTACGCTAATTCCCCATACGCTTCCCCAATTAAAGTTCAAGCACACCAAAAAGACCGTAACTATTGAACTAAAACTCAAAAGCACAAAAGGAAAAGACCGAAAGGGAGAGCAGTACAAGGACAAATAGAATAATACTAGATAGATACCCAGCTGAAATTCAAGAACGTACGTACCTTCTCTCTCTCTATCTCTCTCTCTCTCTGTGGCTGCGCCAACACAGCCAGACACCTCAAAAAGATTGACGACCTCCCTTCTACTCAGAATTCAGCGCCCGCGGGAAAGATAAAAATGATAAGGTGAGAAATTCGTTAGCGCAAGGGTCAATATGTCCAGGGCCCTAAATCGGGCAACACGTAGATGAGATGGATGGCTAATTTGTAAGGAAAATGATTTCATAAAAAGCAAAATATAAGAATATGTACAAGAAGCTAAAAAGGAGTGATTTCATAAAAAGCAAAATAGTACTACTATATAAGAATAAGAACTACTAGCAGGCAGTGTTGTCGGTAGTTGCAAATTATTTTGACGGCTGCAATTGTTTTTGTTGAAAGAAAACGTTGGCAGGTCATGGCCGTGGCAGATGACGAAACGCATAAATCCAAGTTTGCCTCTCGCGACGGTGGGAGGAGAACGGGCAACTTGATGTCGCGGTTGCAATAATAAATGTGTTTTGAGTTCCCTAGTGGAGTAGTTTTTGTTTTTGGCTTAAGAATAATAGGTAACCCAAGCTTTTCAAGAAAACTAACCCCTAGAAATGCCTCCTCTTCTGACATCACTTTGTCATGTTATTCCACAAAGAAGTGCCGCTGTCTAATTCATCAAAACTTTTGTTTTCTGTAGGCCAGTCCCCCAGTTGGCCACCAGGAGATGAAGGACTTGTGTTTGGACTCCAAAGCCCTCCAACCCATTTTTGATGTCCTAATTCATAATCCTATTGCCAACTGTAATTCATTCTAACAAATTAAGTTACACAACTATCATTGTGAAGCATTTTAGCACAATCCTGGCCCGACTCAATCCTTGGACGATTACAAGTTGGGCCAGTGCTTGCCTTAAATACTGAAGCATTTTAGCCCATGCCCGGCCCAATCCTTGATCCACCCACCATTCCCTACGTGTAGCACAGGTGTGTATACCCCAAACCAAGCTGGAGAGAACGAACAGTGCACCCTTCAACCAACCTTGACGCGAGTTGAAATGAAACACATTCGAACTCTCGAGCTGTTCGAGCTTCAACAAGCCTGTCTCCCTAAATACTGCTCGATTTGTGGAAAGGATGCTGAGTTCAAAATATTTACATCTTCTGAATTGTTAAAAAATATATATAAAACTAACACATCCGCCTCTCCGGAAAAAAAAAAAAAGAAAAAAGAAAAACAACGCAGGCTCAGGCTACAAGTCTAAAAAAGACTAATCTATTTTTACATTTTTCCCGATTTGTCATTTCCTGTGCCTCGTGCTGGTGGGTGGGAACTGCATTTGCAACAATTATCTCTCACCTTTTTCTCTACCCTTCTTTCATTGCTGCAATAACGCATTTAACACACTTTATCCTATGTATACATTGACTTGCAAGAAAAACCGAAGCAGCATCATCAAAGATACAAATGCACATGGAGGGAGGAGGGAGCGCAAGAAAAAGTTCACAGCAACCAAGGACCACTCATGTTTAAGGATAGAGGCATTTCGAATTGAGCAACCTAAATATCATACACCAAGTTGCCATGAACTGAAAACAAGGGCTATAAACCATAATATAAGGATGATGACACCTTGCGTGAACCAGATCCACCATCCTGGGATCCAATTGGCTTATTTGATAAGTGACGTTTGTACCGTTTGAGAACTGATGCCAAATTTTCTTTCCCTTTAGGGAAAGCAACATCACCAGCTGCAGTCCCTGTTCGTCCCTTCCGACAAGAGATGGCAACTTCAATATCCTTTATTATGTCCAAAAGTGATGCTGCAGTCGTGCATTTCCCCCTGCTCTGTTTTGCAGGTGGGGGCAAGCTTCCATTCGAAATTGGTGGACTTGATTTCTGCTGCCATCCAGCTGGGAGTTGAAGGCAAAAGCAGGGAGTCATTGGCGTACGAGGCCTAAAAAATGCCAGAACAACAATCCCCTGTTGCAAATAGAATGCATCACAATCACTTTATCAGCTGATGATTAGATGCAACCAAGTAAAAAGAACTTCTAGGGAAAATCAGGTCACCAAATAAATGACAAGCAACGAGTTTCCAGCAAAATAGTACAAGGGAAGGGCCGGAGAGAATGACAAGAAAAATTTTAGTAACTGCTACAAGTTCTTCAAGCAAATAGCAAGATTAGTTTTTATCAACAAGCTATTTATAGCATTTGCAAAGTAAACTGCAAAAGACAGAGATCCATAGAAGCAGAGAAAAATGTGCTCTCTCTCTCTCTCTCTCTCTCACACACACACACACAATTCATACCTGGAGGCGATTCAGTACGTAAGTATATTTTCCCCAAAGCTCTGGCCTGCTTTCCATAAGCAACAGCTCAAATATCCGATGAATGCACCATACGCCAAAACTAATTATCAGATCTACCTTATAAACACAATCCTCTCCACAGTGTGGAACTGATGTTACTGAGAACTTGGTATAATCTGTGTCATCACTTTTAACTGCAGAACCAGACTTCCTATCAGAGTAAAATTGAGCTTCACCAACATTACTTGGCCAATTCATCGGCACGGTCTCAGCTTCATACAGGAATTTTTCCCTTGCAGCTACACGGTCAATAAGATCCTCATCAGCCCCACCATTCTGTCTAAACAACCAATCAGATCCTTCCAGTTTCAGAAGTTTCACGACACTATGTCTGAAGGACTGAAGAAGCCTTGCTTCAAAATCAATTGCAGAGGCAGACTCTTGAGCATATGAACCTTTCACCTGTTCACCTTCAGCATGAGTTCTATCAGCCACACCAAACTGTTCATAAGGCTGTCTAGACCAAAGAGACCCAGTGCTTGATCTTGAGCTGAATTGTAAAGAAAAAGGCTCTCTACAAACTTTTGAGGGAGAACGTCCATGAAATCCTGGAGGAGCTTCTGTCCGTGACGAAACAGTCAAAGAGGTTCTATCATAGGTTGACCCAACTGACTGCGCATTTACCATTGAATTATCCCATTTACCACTCTTATCTGATAATGTAGACTCTTGATAGGGTACTCGAAAACCAGATATATCGGGCAAGCTGTAAAATTTCTTCAAATTGATTGAACTATTTGGGTTTTCAGTAGGTTTTGGGGAAGTAACGTCGTACATTGATCTCTCTGACTGCAAAAAATTATTCCTAGAAACAGAGACGTTGTGAAAACCAGGCGGCCTTGAGATACTCATCCCATTCTGGGGTCTCTTTCCTACAGGACGAGCAAATGACTCTCTGAAAGATGACGACATAGAGGACGTGGATATTGGTGCTGGTGACTCCATTTGACCATTCAATATCCCGGAACCTGTTTCCTTTGCTATCCAATTGAGATAAGAGGCAAGCTCATGCCCATGAACAGTAACCGGCTGTTGGTCATAGCCATCTGAGGATGCAGGAATATGCATGCTAGAATATCGCCTTTCACCAGAGTCATGAGTGTTGCGACTGGAGTTCCGCACATATGCACCTAAAAGTTGCACAGGCGATGACAACAAGGGAGAGGAACCCCTCTGAACCCCAAAGGAAGGCTCAATCAGACTTTGCCCCATCTGCTGTCTTGGAGAGTTATATAAACTTGAACTGATCAAAGAATCAGATCCCTGTCCACTCAAAGATGGAAAACATCCAGTAAAATCAGCCCTACTGCTGTCCGACTTGACAGATGCTGATGAAGACTTTGCATCTAACTTGAGATCTAACCCCAGTAACAGATCCAGTTTCTTAGCCTTTGCTTCTTTTGTGGCTTGTCCATGTAAATCAAACATTTGTCCCCAGAACTCATCAAGAGCAGCAGCAAATTGGCGCCTTGCTGCACGGCCTAGACCTCCTAATCTCGAGAGACTACCTGTGCCACTTCCAACATCATCGCTTTTTCCACTGAGACTTCTAAATGATCCTGAACCCTCAGATGTCAATGACTGGTTCATCTCGGGAACCTCTTTGGTTGGTTCTTCAAGCTCCCAAGATTCTCCATCATCCTTCACAGTCTGTATGTCCCTCTCTACTTGCAGTGTCTTTTCCGCCAGGTCTGTTGTATCAGTTTTCAAGGCCTGAGAATTCTGTGACTGACCATCAGAAATATCACCATGTATAGGTGCATCCAAATTCCTGTCAAGCACAATTGGAGATGCCTCCTGAGAACAGCCGGGACTTGGAATTGTAACTTCAGATTTATTCTCCTCAATAGTTGTCAAAGGAAGGACATTCTCAGAATCAAAAATTGTCTCTGGCAAACTGAGATTACGACTCGAACCCAAGGATTTCTCGAAAGTCACTGGTGGTTCTTGCTTGCCTGTAGGCTTATCTATCTGATATTTCGGTACAAGGACATCATTTTGCTCTCCTTCTGTACCGGACTCTAGCACAGTAGGATGCATATCCAAGTCCAATGCCTGAGCATCTGTTCTGGAGGTGGCTGATTTCAATGGAGTGGCTGCTAACCAAAGCATCAGAAAGAAGGAGACAGAAGCAGCAAGAAGAAGAGTAACATAAGCAACTGGCACACTACTCCCGATATTCCACCTCAAGTTACTCACCCAATCACTATCACCGAATACTAGCTCTATAAAAAATATAATCTTAAGACCAAGCATACCAATAAATGTGATCAGAGCTAAAAATTCCTCCCGTTGAGAAATTTTATGGATACCCATTAATTGTCTGGAGGAGGCTACTCGGAAGAGAGGGATAACAGAAGATGGAAGCATAAGAGAGACCACAACCTGTGTGAATATCAGCAATTGGTATATACCTTCAGCTCCTGAATTCCACACACAGTAAAGGGCTGGAATGATTGCAATAATTCTGATTGTGGCATGATGAAGCCATCCAGGAATATCCATTTTAAAAAGTTCGCGCACAACAACTTGTCCAGAAAGATTCCAGGTCAATGCAGTCACTTGACTCAAAAGGAACATTAACATTATCAAACAAAATGATGCAATTGAACTCCTAAATGCCTGCATCAATAGTAAGCCAAACTTTAAATGTAGTCCCAGTATTGACATGCATAATGCGTGTTATTAATAAATGAAACTGAGGAGATGAGAGAATCAACCTGATCCAACAGGGACAGTGCATCCTGAAAAGTAAGCAACAAAAGACCGGTACTATAGAACACATTTGCAGCTGAGTTCATAAGCACGTAATTGACCAGGAAAATGCCACTGAAAATGCAAAAAATGGCAAAAAAGTGGTCATGATACAAGGTTTCCTTGGGAACATTGTTTGGCCCCTGATCCAGCTGCAAGGATGGTAAAACATAACAATAAGCAGATACACAAAACATTTCCAAAAAAGAAAAGACCACCGGATGATGGCCATGCATCACAGAGTGCATATGCACGTATTATCTCTCTCTCACACACACGCATGCAGAGAGAGAGAGAGAGAGAGAGAGGGAGGGAGTGGAGAGGAAGAGGGAGAGGAGACCTGCACAACTGAAGAATGCAGGTAAAAGTTGTGAGGCATAATGCTTGCTCCAAGAAGACTCATCAAAGCAAAGGCGCTTTCCCCACTTAACCTTGTCACTGTCCCACCCAAGGGGAGTGGACTTGCCGGTTGACTAACCAATACTCCAAAAATATATGACACTAAGACAAATATTGAGATGCATATGGATAGATATTTTGCTCTGCTGTTTTCCTGGGAATCATAGAAACAAGAATGACAATACTCAGAATAAGATGGACGATAAGAATGATATACTGAAAACACACAGGCAACAAGACCTACAAGGACTGTAGCAAGAAGTGGAAATAAGGCAGCATTAAGAGCAGTCAGAAAGACACCCGTGAAAAGGTCAATTCCGAACAGAACATTAAGCCCATGTGCAGTTCCCAAAACCTGCAATAAAAATAGAAACTGTTATGAATACGAAATGGTCAAAGCCACAGTTTCTAAATAAGTCATGAAATCTTAAAAATTACCATCATTAGGTCCAATGCAATAATTGAGATCTCAGCTTGAACTCCTAATAGCATACAGGTGATTTTGTCATATTCCTCACTGCAAATCTTGGAACACCAAAGAAGCCTCGTCAATCAGTCAGTCAAAGGAGGAATGGGATGATTCAAAAGAAATGTATAGGATATAATAATGATATCATAAAACTTTTAACGGAGGTCGAGAAATAGGGAGCTATGGCGAAAAACACAGAGAGGTGAATATGTGAAATACACTCTTGGCTAGTCTAATAGGCTAATATATATCTCAATCGGCAGGGCTCCATATAACTTTGGGCTGTAAGCATTGTGCTTATTTCGTTGACTGAACAAGGAAACCGGATCAACGACCTTCACAAAACCAAGTGAGTCTAAAGAAGGGAATACAACTTCTGAAGACCTTGCATGACAAAAGTTCATGGTTGGATGAGAATGGTATACATTAACAGATACTAAAAGGTTTTCCTAGTGTAACATTCAAAAAGTTTACTGCCCCAACTACAAGATGTAAAGGGTCATTCAGATGGTGCAATCACTATAGACAAGCAACAAAACCATAACTTAGGTCCTGCAGTGGACACAACAGTATCAACTTCTAGTACAAAAAAGTTCCCATGAGACAAAATATAACAGGAAAGAAGATAAGAACATGTATATGCGAGTCACCAGTACCATATCCATAAATTGGGAATTAGACTGCAAAAAGGATCAGTAAGTACCTGGGCGAGATCTCTACCAGTAACCACCGCTATACGAGCTGATAGGTATTGACAAAGAATGGCAGCAAAATTGAAAATAAGTACTGGAAACACCAAATCAACCCCAAAGTGTGCGCCACCCTCCACAGCTGCAGCCCACTTTCCAGGATCAACATAGCTGATTGCAATAAAAACTACTGGTACAACAGCTGGAAATAGCCGCTGAAGAGTGCTAGGCTGACGGTTGTCCGTCAAAGTGTCAAATTCCATCTTTTTTTTTCCTCCAAAAGAGTTCATTACACAAGATTCTGATTGTTAATTGCGCATCGAGATAGCTGGAGAAGCAACAGATTCTATTAAAGTACTATTTACATAGCCAGTCTTCACAAAAGTAATCTGAGGAGATGCCAATCAACCCCAGCAGTCATGCAGAATAGCACAAGCAACTTGTATGATCAATGTTACTAACTTGGCTCAGACAGAAAAAAAAACCTAATTCCTTCATCATCACTCCAGACTATGAAGAACAAACACAAATCTGACAGCCATGAATTTTAAAAAGAATCTGGCATAACACCTGTAAACTTGATCAAGCCAATAGGAACAACCAGTCAGATTACAACTGATGAACCAAAAAATTTGACTTTGAAGCTAGTAGCACTCACAACCCTTCCCAATTAAATTGATTTCATACACTTCATTTTCTTTGAAGAAAATTCTCTACCAGATCAGAGATGGTTGTGTCCCCCGAAACTCCGGACTCCGGCTAACCAGTTAGATCCACCGTGAAATAAATACCACCGTTTGAAATCTGGCATGCTGCAAAAAGACTTTTGTCCAAAATGCCCTCCTTGCCAAAACTCCTGACGTAAACCTGATAAAGTAGAATGCATTAAATAGCAACCCTGATCCATGACGCAGATAATTTTCCATCTTGCATGTCAAAAGAAGGTCAAAATGATCGACACTCTAAAAACTGGGTTTACCATAAACATTGATACCTAGCATAGTTGAAAATTACAGATAACTGTGTGAAATTAATCCATCTCAAGTACCACAACTTTCCAATTCCTTGCATAAATTGGCAATGGCATTCAAAACCCAGAAGAAAAAATTCCATAAGATTACATGAGAAGAGGCCATTAAAGTAAAAGAGATAATTTGAAAAACTTAAACAAAAAGACTACAGACAAAAGAACACAGCTTTTGGTGTTTGTAGATAAAAGGGTATGCGCATATAATATACTAATAATCAGTGCGCTGAGTTAGAAACATTCGCCTAATGAATTTCAAGTCATGCATGAAATGCGAGAGCAACAATTTAAAAAAGAAAAAAAGAAAAAAAGCAAATCAATTCATTTTTTCTTCGACCAAAAAAAAAACATAAATTTAATTAATCTAATACTGCAAGTGCCTACAAGATTCCATTCAACAAGATATTAAAAACAAGCCCGCAATAAAAGCACCAAAAACAGCAAGCAGGTCTTAAAAGCACAATCCAAATAAAAGCAACCACCAATTGCAGAATCAAAACCCTAATCCTCGAGGCGCAACATTCAATCCCCAACAAACATTTGGAAAATCATTAATTAGACGTAAATTGATACTTACTGCTATGGATCTGAAATCTAGATAGTAAAGAAAATGAACCATTTGACGTATCTCCCAGTAATTAATCCAACAAGACAGAGCAGAAATTAGACACACGTATGCACAGGCGTATATGGATATGCATACGCAATTACGTACGGGTGTCAGAAACTGATTTGACAAGTGGCAAAGATGCAGTACATGACTTTTTAGGGTTTTGTAAATCTTTTACCTTCTCATCCTCCTCCTCCACCTGGTAAGCCTTTTTCTCTCTTTCTCTTACCCTTTTTCTCTCTATCTCTCTCCTCCTCTGTTTCAGAGCAAAGATCAGAGGCTTTCAACAGGCCACGCGTTGATTAAATTCTACTACAGGAAAGTGAGCTACATGCATCTAGATACAACACTACAAATAAATATAGATATATGTATATATATACACACACACATATATATTTGTGGGTAATACTTATAGATTATTATTTATTATGGGTATCCAAACTCGGTGAGTGTGTGCGCATCCATGTTATTAGTAGCTGTTAATTTGTGTGTGTGAGTGTGTGCAGAGAGAGTGAGAGAGAGTCTGCCAGCATATATGTTTTTTAAGTACTGGTAGAAGCTATCTTGGAAAGAGAGTAAAAGGGAGAAAAATGAAAACAAAAAATAAAGAAAGAAAATTTCCTGGGGTTTTTTTTTTTTTTTTTTTGAGAACAGAAAAATAAAGGTAACTTTATTTGAACCGAAAGCTACAGTAAAGAGACGTGAAGCAGTATATTAAAAAGAAAGTGCCCTCTCTGTCCCCCATCTGGATCTAATTTCGGGTGCCGGGAAATATGGGGGTTAGGCTGTGTTTGTTATAGAGGTCGAAATGCCCTTTTCTCATTTACGGTTTGGGTTGAGAGAATGGGGAGAAAATAAATAAATAAATAAATTCCCTTATTCAGGAGATGGAAATACAGGTAAGAAGATAACGTTGAGGATTTCCCCTGTTTGTGAGCTTCAAATGGAAAACAAAAGGATAAAATCTCAACAAAACTGTCTCTCCTAAAGTGGAAAGAAAAATGAAAGTGAATATTAAAAGGATTTAAATTACCATAATTATCCATTATAATATACCCGTATGACTTCAAAATGTCTTCCCTTTCTAACTCATCAAGCTTGCAATTCTTTTCTTTTCTTTCCTAAACTCCCAAACTAGTCCTTAAACGCTATGTAATCTTTAAGAGTTTAAAATTTGGGAAACTTTATAATGCGATTAAGTTTTATACTGTTAACTAATAGTATAAGTGACATCTAGATGGCTATTTTATAGGAACTTCTTAATTTTTTTTTTTAATGATCGTTGCATCAAACGTCTTAAGAGTTATGTTTGCTAAGATTTTATGTGGTGTAGTTATGATTAATCTTTCCTACACTGATAAGATATACACTATCAGCGTTGGATGAATGATAACTATGCAAAATTTGAATTTAAAATTCAACTTTTACACGCATGTCATGAATCAAACGGTGACAGTGTATATAAGATTTATTCATGCAGTTATTATCACTCCTTTTTGCTCTCGGCAAGTTGAAACTTTCTTTACTATTTTTTTTGTAGTAGGTTTTTTATTTCTATTTTGGATGGCTTGCCTAAAAAAAATTGTATACCAAATATGCATTCAGTCCACATTTCAGCAGTATCCATCATTGGATTTAGGAATTAAGAGGGAATTATATTAATTATTACATAGCAAAAAAGAAGGCAAAATGGAGTAATATAAATGCATTATGTTTTCCTACACATAAATGGGAAGAAACAAAAATACCAGCCATACGTTAATGGAAAAGAACGATGGACCAAATAGAAATTCATTAAATGTATTTATTTCCTTTCAATTAATTAAGTCCATATTTAGATAAATTTTAAAGCTTCAAATAAAAAAGTTAACCACTATATTCCTTTTCTTTATTTTTACTTCAAAAGAAAGTATCCTCGCGCTCATTTCTTTTGTGAATAGGAATTCCAGTGTGCAAACTCTACAAAATCAAAACATGGACCCATTTGATAGAATTGAAGTTTAAAATTTGAATTCTAAAATATGAAAATTAAGTGCTGAATTGAAATATCATACAAATATTATGTTTCTATCTATAAAAAATATTACTTTTATTTGTATATTTGGAGAGGATAAAAGAAAAGAAAAATGCGTGTGTGAAAGAGAGAAAATAATGAAACAATTCAGAGATAACGTTCAAGTGTGTGTATTTATAAGTAAGAGAGTACGCGTGCATGCTTGTGTGTATATGAAGTAATCGTATACCATTTGCAAAAATGGTACGAGAGCATATTATGTGCGTGATAGGTATAATATGTATAATCAATTTAGAAGATTTAGTGAAAAATTTTCACTTAAAATTCAACGCGTGAATTAAGAAATGTTTAATACATTAAATGTTAAAAGTATTTCTGTTATCAAACATGGGAAATTTCTAAATGTTGAAGAGGTTTGTAGTGATAATCTTCGTTAGCCGTTTCATTACTTTATTGATTTTTCATTTGTTTTTTTTCCCCCTTTGCGTTTGACTTGCACATTATTAATCTATCCAACAAATTTGACATGCCATTCTTTTGCATGTTCCCTTTTTCCTTCCTTCGATAACTATGTATTATTAATAGTTCTCTGTCTCAGATATTGCCTCTAAACATGCAAAAGCCGACCTAAGTCTTCTCTATATCTTGCCAAACAAACGCAAGAACTAGGAAAGTGTAAAGCATCGTTCCAGTTCCATCTAGTTCCCTCAGTCATCTCCTTTCTCTGTTTTAACTAAAAGTATTCTACCGAAGCATTTTTCAGTCTCAGTCTTAATCAAACTTAAGTTTGACAATCGGTTTAGTTGATCAGATATTAGAATCTCCACGCACACAAATTGACTCCAAACGAATAGCAAATCTTTCTACCTTTTTTATTATAAGTATTTCAGGCAGCTACATTATTTTACCAAAACACTGAAAGCAACATTCGAAAAAAACTGCCCTTTTTTTTATCTTACATACATCACATCATAAAAAGTATTACAGTAATTATTCCAAATAATTTCCTATCCAAACTAAGAGTACCATACTATTAGTTTGGTCTTTGGACCACTACGCGAAAGAGACGGGTAAGGAGATATGACGGTATGGCTCTTGGTATAAATTAATACTACTACCGGCACTGTATCACAAGATAAGGCAGTAGCAGAGGGTTTGGAGTTTGGAGAACAAAATGAAATCAATCAATGCATCTTATATATTCAATATCTTCCAGTAAGAGGAAGGGATTGACTTCCATCCATGGTGGTGTAGTATAAATATTAATTTATAGTATAGCCTGTGGTTTCCTCTTGTCAACGGAACGGGACCCCGCCACCCGGATTGGGGGGTTAATAATTATCTGCACAGCATTTAGTATAGTACTGTGACAGAAGCTTTATAACAACAACAGCCAGAGTTTGGGAAGTTTGGACGCCCATCAACATCAAAATTTGTGCTAAGTACAAAGTCTAAATATGGTTCTTTTGGTTATAGAACTTCTTTTCCTCGTTATTGATTGAATTTGGTCCTCAAGAGTGTTCGCGGATGATGGAATCTGTTTTCCCATATAGCAGAAGGAATATATATTTCCCAAACTATTGGCCGAGCATCATGGGACTTGAGAATTATTACCCTTTAAAGTCGGCGTTTAGTCTCCCGAAAGACAGAAGCTTCACGAGTTCTTAAGGGATAAAGTTTAATCTTCAATAAAACTACCGTCACCCTAAAAGTTTTAGGATCTTTTTTTTTTTTAAGATTTTGTTAGTAAGAATTTTTGCACTGATCGCATATTCTTGGTTTCAGGGGGAAAAAGGAAAAGGGCAAAAGCTTTATAACGACAATACAACGCAAATCCACGGGCAGTGGTTGGGAACTTTACAGTTGCCCACCTCACATTTCATACTGAGGCGGGGCCCCACCCGATATCTTCAAAGCTTGTCCCTTCCCTTTGTTCTCTTTTTAACTTTTGGGATAAACATCTTGAATATATGGAGAATTTTTTTTTTTGTTTTTATAAAAAAAAAAATGCACTACATATTTACGAACGGTTGACTTCCATTGTTTAACATTTAAAATAATTCTGAACTTCTGGGTTGACTTATTAGTTTGGTTAGAAAACTTGGCAATCAGAAGAGATTCATTATCGATGGCAGCCGACCCTTCATATGCTTCGATGGTTTGGGAAACAAATTTTTTTTAAAAAAATATCACGGAGTTCGACTAATTGCGGGCTTCTCTTAGAGCACAGCGGAAGTAATGGTTTTCTTGATCTCGTGATTTCAGTATCAAATCGAGTTTAACATATGAACGACAATGGTAAGCGAGTAGCGGTACTTTACTTTAACAAGCTCTTATCTATCAAAATTTTGCACAACAATTAGCTAGGACAAACACACACATGCTTTCACTGCTCGGAACCAAAGCACCAACTTAGACCTATTAATGATCTAGTTGAAATTTGTTAGATACGAATGGCTGATTACAACTTAACACTTTCCAGAAAGGCTCAATAAATAAAACAATCATCCTGTCAGTAAACAAACAACTGATCTTTTTTCTCGTTGAAATTTGTTAGATACAAATGGCTGATTACAGTTTATACTCGAATAGAGTCAATAAACAAAACAACCACACTGCCAGTAACATTTCTAAATTCTGAAATCTGAATTCTGGAGAAGAAGACGAAGATCTACAGCGAACTCGATAGCCTGTTGTAAAAATGAAAAAACAAACTCTTTTTTTTTTTTTGGCCTACGTTCTAAATCCTGAACCAGCTGTTCATCTGATTGCGTGTGCGTATGTGGTGGGGTTGGGAAGGGGCCAGTTACGTGTCAAATATCAGTGAGAGTAAGAGTAGTTTTCAAAAGTCTTGGAACAACAGGACTAACTTTTACTACTCGCACAACTTTCTGGTATTCCGCAGTCTGCACATGGTTGAATCAAAAAGTTGGCTGTTCTACTTATTCAATGCATCAGATCAGGAAGAGCTTCTTACGACTGGAGATCATCACTCACACCTTTTGAAGGGTATTTTTTTTCTTCCCTTTTATTATTGTTATAAAAGTGGGAGCAAATTAGTGGGAGTAACTATTTATGGTTTTAGTGTTGACATTTAATGTTGCTATACTATTATTGTCAGCTGCAATTATTAGTGGTTACAAACATTTGTGGTAGGTATTTTTGGTAGCATATATTTACTCCCCCATAACACATCAAAAAAATAGCACACTAGTACTAAACACCAAAAGCACCCGCCAAAGAAAAAAAAAAATATATATATATATACTAGAAACTTTTTCGGCTGTGCAACGCACAGCCAATGCCCAATGTGTTGGGCTAAATATGCAGGAGAGGTATTTGGTTTTCCTATATAGATGTATGGAGATGCATATCATAAATTTTAAAAATAAAAAATTAAACTACTCGTTTGGAACCTTAAAAAATACTAATCTGATTAGATGATTATTCATTTAAGTTGAATAGAACGTCTAACGATGAAATTGTTGTGCAGAGAATATAGTTGACAACATACAGAATGTAAACCAT